ACCCCCCCCCCCCCCCCCCCCCAAACCTCCACCCAACCCACCTGCCTCTTCCGGCTCTCACGCCGCGAGTGCGTCGCGCGCCCTCTGTCCGCGCGCCTCAGCACCGCGCGTGTTTCTTGCCGATGCATACCGTTTGCATACGTTGCGTTGTGTCGCCGTGTGCGCGTACTGCATATGCACACCCTCTCGCAATGCATGTAACCTGGTTTGTGGAGCTCCCGCAACTGTCCTGACAGTCCTGACAGAGTCCTGACAGAGTCCTGACATAGAGGGAGCGGACCCTGAGTTGAGGAAATCGGGGGACGCGACCCACTTCGCCACAGACGGTCCCACGCCTCGCCGCTATGACGGGTAGACGACCGCGGCTCGTGTGCGTCTACCCGTCTTTGTCCGGAGTGAAAAGTCCAACGCGCTCGTCGGTGACGGCGTCCCCCGATTTCGCCGCGCTCGGCGAACCTCGACAGCGCTTTCGGTGGCATGCAGCTCTTTGCGCCTGAAGCCTGGAGAGCAGCTCCTCTGCTGCTCATACGCTCTGCACAGTTGGCACAGCCTACTGTGCGGCTGCCACAGCTGTGACAGCGATGGGCTCGCCCTCACTGGCCCTCAGTCACTCGTGCTGCGGCTTGTGTGAGCGACACTGCTCGGCGACTGCCGGCACACTGTGAGACCATGGGTGTGAGGTAAAACCACGCTACCAGCGCTTGGTCACATCAGCCCTGAGGTCATATCCTTCTCCTCTGTTGATGGTAACACTTGTCTACTGGCTGGAGCCGAGCAGGAGGGCCCAGCGCACAACCCCAGGTCAACTCAGGGTCCACACCCCGTACAGTAGCGCATGCAAGCATCCGCTCCTCCTCCTGTCTATGCTACACACGGCTCTCCATCCTCTCAACTCTCGTTTCACAATGTGCGTGTGCTGGGGCCGATACGGCTCCAGAGGTAAATAAAGCTCTCACTCTTTTTTGTTTTGCCATTCTTTGGCTTTCGGTGCCCCGCGCCCCCTGCGCCCTGGCCCTGCAGGCCTGTGTTCTGATTGATATGCGTTACGGTGCTCTGTCAATGAAGATAATGCGCCATCCGCCAGGGCCGCGTCTCCCTCTTCTTCTCTCGTCTCTAAGGCCGGACGAACCCCGCGCC